GAGAAGAATAGAGAAAGCATGGATAGAAAGTGATGCTACCAAGCCCAAGGTGGGTGATATTAATCTGCGCCCCCCTCAGGCCTGGTTTAAATAGTTTTTTGTCAAACATTCTTCTAAGTGGTTTGCACTGGTCTGTGTGTTGTTGTACAGAGGTTAACTCGTGGTTGCTGTGACACTGGACACTGTAACACTGATGTGTCAAATGCGATAATGGTTACCCATGGTGGACAGTGTTTGGTGGAGCTCCCTGATTAAAACAAGCTTGGAAGCAGGAATGGCATCCACTTCCGAAATACCTTGCCTCCGGAAACCCTATGAACCTGGAGAAACAATAAAAGGTATACAAGTGTTCAGGTCTTCAGTTCATAGGGTCACTATGAGTCATCTATGACGCAACGGCTCTTAACAACATTGTACTGGCAAAGAATAGTGGCTATGCCGTGGACTGCCAGAGGAACGAATAACTGTGTCTCAGAAGTGCAGCTAGAATTCTCCTTAAACGAAAGGATGGCGAGACTTGTCATCTAGAGGGCTCAGTCTCTGGAAGACACTGTGCTTGGTCCATCAGTGAAATAGAAGTCTCTCGACAGGACGGGTTGACACAGTGGCTGTGACAACACACATACACACAGCGCTGTGAGGCAGGCACAGCCCAGCAGTGGTTGACTCTGTTATACAGGGGATTGCTGTGAGTGAGGGCTGACTGCATAACCCCCCCAACAGGATTCCCTCAGGGCGTCCTCATGCAGCAACTGTCAGGGGCCCGCCTGCTAACCGAAAAGCTTGGTGGCTGGCAGGTTCGAATGGCCGCAGGAAAGATCAGCTTTGGTAAAGATTAAAGAACAGGAAACCCTATGGGTCAACTCTATCAGGGTCATCACCGTGAAACAGAACAACAGGATTCCCTGGGTAGCACAAAGGCTAAGCACTCAGCTTCTAGCTGAAAAGGTGGGCATTTCAAACTCACACAGGCACCTTAAAGGGCCTGTGGAGCTGTTTCCAAAAGGCTACCACTCTGAAAACCCTACAGAGGCATACTCAGCACACATGGGGTCACCATGAGAAGAAAATGGATTAACTAGTAACTAACAACAAACTCTATTAAAATTCCATAAAGACCCTTCACTTTCATTCTAAAAAGCCAGCCCTAAGTGCATATACTACCTTTTACAAACACAGTCATGACGCGGGGCCACATTACCCAATTCTCAGGGCAAGAACTGCTTTCTAGTGTTTACTAATCTCAACAGTATCAGATTTCCCCACCATGTCAAAGATCCTACCTGAAGTCTGGCTGGCACCCAGCAACCTGCCCATCCCACAGCATCTCCCTACAGAATCAAAGACTTTTCACTCACATTAACAGGACTGATGGGGACAGTAAGCAAATAAGTATGCATTTATTTTTTTTCTTACTAATTTATAGTGAAAACTTTCACTTATTTTCCATTGCATTTCTGTAAACTCATGTGAAATGGTTCACCACAAATTTGGGTATTTCTTTTAATTTTATTTTTTTTTTAATTTTATTATTTTTGTGTGTGAGTGTACGGTCAAATCAGCTCTGACTGGTACAGGAGGAGACTGTCCCTCCTTCCCCGGCAGAGCATCTGGTGGATTCGAACTGTGAACCTCTGGAATTGTAGTTGCAGCTCCTTGACACTAGGCCACTAGAGCTCCCCTACAAATTTGGGTATTTCAATTAGCCATTGCTTATCTACCTAGCCTAAGGTTAAACAGAATGGTTTAAGGTAAAAATACTCTTCACTTAGGAATTTCCAGGGCTAGGGGGACGGACAAACTCTGTATGTTATGATTCTTGTTGTGTACCGTCTACCTGGAGCTGACCCTCCAGTGGGTTTTCAGAGGCAATGAATCACGCAGGAGGTGACTGCCCATCTTTCTTCCACAGAGCAGCTGGTGAGTTCGGGCAGCTGGTGGATTTGAGCCAAGTGCCTTTAGGATGGCAACGCAGCTCCTTACCACTAGGCCACCAGAAAGCCCTATAATACAGGCAGTTTCCAATTTACTGTGATAAGTTCTGACATAAGTCTAAATTGCTATCCCTCCCTTCTTCCCGCTCCCTCTATTTTCAAGACCGGTTACAAGGCAGTGTTTTGAACAGTAAATCATAACATTGAACATGTGCAAGCATCTGAGAAGTGCATCAGCAAATGCTGTGCTGCAAACACTGTATGTGGTCTACATTACCAACAATACACTGCCTAAAAGTTGATGCTGCCTCTGACTCACTCTCCATCCACTTCCAAGGAGGTAAAATGTGATAGAAGTTTGCTCAGCTTCCTCCTCGTAGCCACCGGTGGATTGGAACTGCCAGAGACCAGAGGGCTGTGGGTTACCAGTGCACCCATTCCCTACCAGAGCTCCATTACCAGAAAAACATACAAACAACAGACAATCCTACATGCAGTTGGTAGTAACTCCAATATGTTGTAAGCCAGGAGTTACCTGTGCGAGTGTGCCCTCAGAGAATTAGAAAATGATTTAAAAACTCTACTAATAGAAGGTAAGGAATAGTTAAACAAGAAATCATTACAAAAAGATTTTATTAAACAAACACACCAGGAGATTAGGCCTAAGGATTTGGCTGGGAAACCAAGAAGCCTTAGTAAAACAGCAGAAGTTCAAAGTCACAGACTTCAGGCGTTCCTTGGTGGCAGTGTGAGGGGAAGGGTCAGGAATTGCAACACCTCATCCCATGATAGTCCACAGAAAAATAGCCAGCCCTCTCTCCCTCTCCTCTTCAGGAAGTGTTCCATGATCCTGGACCTGAGAGGTTGGAATGGAGTTCCTGTGTGTCACAGGCATTCAGCTTCTTTGTTCAAGACCACCCTGTATACTTGACACTGCACTTGAGTTATCTGTTCACATACCTCAACTTGGCTTTTGAGAAACCAACAGTTGCTGAAAGAGTGTTTACCACCCAGCAATGTAAGATTATACTATTACGGCGGCTGCATTTTTCATCTCATCCTGCCCCCGTTGTACTTTAGACAGTGATGTGTTGAGCTTGATTTCTTTAGAAAAGAATCTACTTGGTTTTTGTTGTTTTTTTTTTTAATTTTATTATTTTGTGTGCATGTACCGTCAAATCAGATCTGACAGGTACAGGAGGAGATTGCGCCTCCTTTTCTGGCAGAGCATCTGGTGGATTTGAACAAAAGAATCTACTTAGTAAAATAAGTTACCTAAAACATACTTGCTGATTTTATGAGAATTCCACGAATATGAAGTCTTCTCTGAGGGGAAGAGAGGCATAAGATCTTTTCTCTGTCCTGCTACCAACAAAGTTAGGTATTTCAAGATTAAAAATGGCGATTTGTTCATAATACTCAAGAGTGTGCTCTCATGTTATTAAAAGCCATTGATGGGTGGGGGCGCTCTGGTCGCCTAGTGGCAAGAAGCTGCACTGCAATCCCAGAGGTACATGGTTCAAATCCACCAGATGCTCTGCCGGATAAGAAGGGACAATTTCCTCCTGTACCAGTCAGATCTGATTTGACACTACATGCACAAAAAATAGTAAAATAAAATTTTAAAAAAGCTATTGATCATTAAATTCCATTATTAACGGCAAAGGCTGTCAATAGCACAAAGACTATGGTACTCAAGCAGCCGCCAGCTGGCCCTCCAGTAGAGACACAGAGATTCGAACACATGACATTGTTGGCTGGTTTCGGTGATGGAGGCTGCTCTATCTAGAAGAAACACAGAAAGCGAAGAGTCTGCCCACAGCCCTGGCATGGGAATTTTACAGGACTCTTTTTTTCCCCCTCCCACAAGAGACACATAAGCAACAATATTCAAGGCCAGTCACAGAGATCTGGGATTTGAAATAGAACCCACTAGGCACAGGGATGTGCTTCCCAGCAGCTCTTTACCGACAAGAACCAACTCTTTTCCTGCCTCTGAAAACCTCTGCCTCCTTCATCACACTGGCCCGGAGAGCCCTTTAGGAACAAGAAACTGCTTTCAAGTCAGAATCTTAAATGGAGACCTCGCGTTGTTGAGGTTTGTGCTTTTAAATTGTTCCATCGCACAGCTGCGTGCCCTGCAGAGCTGGCTCTCTTGGTAGTTTTGTCCAGTATCTGGAGGGCAGGGAATCACTGGACAGTTAAGTTTCTCAAGAATAAAGTTCTGAGTATCAAACACTGTCGGTCCAAGCAGGCAGCTGCTGACACACTTTGTCTCACTGGATTTCAGTCATCGCTCTTATTTGTGATTTTTTTTTTTAATGTGTTTGGGGTCACTTATTTGTCAACGCTGCTCTCCAAACCTGAAGCCCAGGTGTAGTGCGGCAACTCCAGCAAGCAAGTTTACTTACAAAGCGGAGTAAATTTCCGTAAACACTGGTCTACTCGGAAAAATTCGTCACCGGTTCTTTTAGGGACACACTGTGTGTTTGGAACAAGAGTTGTTTTCGGGAATGCTGGTTTTGTGTTTCTTTAAACAGTCCATTTCAAAACTGTCCTGTGTGCCTGTAGAACCAGCTCTCACCCGATTCTGCCGGCTTCTTGAAGTCAAGAAATGGCCAGCATCTGTGCAGGTTCGACCCTTGGTGTGAGTGTGGTCTCGTGCGCCCTGCCGCTCCATTGCTTTCATTCCTTTCATTTTATAAATGGTGTGCCCCAAACCCAGACCCTAAAAAGAGGTCTTGAGCTGAATTAAGCCAGAGGTAAAGTGAAGAGAAGGTGGGGAAACGGAACATCAGAGGTCACACTCCGGACACTTACAGATGTTAGAACCTGGACCCCTTTTGACAACAGTTAAGATTCAGAATCTTATGGCTGGACCGGGGCGCAGCCTGGAGTCTGCAGGCGGGTCTCCTTGCACTCTGACGCCCCCGGAGCAAAGGGGAACACAGACACCCACACACCAGGAGGGGGCGGTCCCTGTGCCTTTGCACCCCTCGGTGGAGGGGTCACTCGCTGATCCTCACCAAGTGGAGAGTGAAGGGCTCAAAGTGGGGAATGAAGAGTTCAAAGGTGCGGGGCGTAGAAGGAGGTCAGGTAGGAAGACCCCAGGAAAGGTGCAAAGGGACCACCTGCGGCCGTGAGCGGAAACGACGTGGCCGCTGGGAAAAGGACGTTGGCGGCAGTGTAGGATGGAAAAGTCTGGAAGGGCAGCGCGGCCGGGCCAGGTGGGCCAGGGCTGGCCCCCGCACCACCCGCCGTCGCCCCCGGCGCCCCGGGCTGGGCCGCACTCCCTCCCGCCTGCACCGCACCGTCGGCCCCGGGGTTCTGCTTCTTCCACTTGGTCCTGCGGTTCTGGAACCAAATTTTGACCTGCGTCTCGGTGAGGCTGAGCGACAGCGCCAGGTTCAGGCGTTCGCACACCGACAGGTAGCGCGTGGCCCGGAACTTGTTCTCCAAGGCCACCAGCTGCTCGTAGGTGAAGGCGGTGCGCGCGCGTCGCGGCTTGGCCAGGCTGGG